GTAAAAATTTCATAGGGGTAGTCACATTTTCATTATGAAAATCTGACTGGGGAGTCACATTTTAGGGGAGTCAGATTTTCATGGTACACCGGGCCTCCGAGGCCCGGTTTCAGGGTTTACGTAGGGTTCCATTTCCTTGTGGATGAGGGTTAAACACATTTCTAAGCGCCTGTTTTGTCTCATTTTTTCGACGCGTTTAGCTCCTAAGCACGTTAAGCTCCTTAACATGTTACACGCTTTGACGCGTTTGACGGCTTTTAAATGTAGGGTGTATTTGCTTAACTTTTAGGTGGTAAGGGTTTCAATTGTTTAGTCACACACGCGCGCGTACACACACACACACACACACACACGAAGTCACGGTCACCTGTGACTGCTATAGCTATCTGTATCCATAACAGGGTTCCGTGAACTGTCAATATCGTTGACTTAACACCGTCACCTTTGCAGCGGTACTTATTCATCCTTGTGTTAGCTGACCTTGCGAGGAAGTTTATTGGAATATATTTCTGAAAATCAAGTTAGGAAAATTCACTAGTTTACTAAAAACACGAAACAGCTATCACTTTTACTTTAAAACATTTTTTTCATATTTTGATAAAATGCGTTACGGTATTGATGTCTATTTATTTTTTCCGGAAGTAATGAACAATAGAACATCAGGATGATGGTGAAGTATTCATTATAATGGTTTATTTAAGCTTTCATTGCATGCTGGTTATTTTGGTAACGATAGTCCGAATATTTAACAAATCGCACCGCTCTAGTCGCCTACTAACCCCAAGCCCAATTTGGAATTAACCGCTAATTGCAGTTCATACAGCACTAAGATCTAATAAACGGATATATAAGATCTTAGTACAGCATAAGACGTGTTTTGGTTATTTATAAAAAAGGTTTTCAAAACATTAAATAATGTTTTTCCAGAATGTTATAAAACGCTTATAAACCGCAGGGGCATCGTTTTGCATGGAGTTAAAAGCACCCATATCCTATACCATCACCATCATGTAACCAGCTAATAACATCGTGACTTTGTTATTTGGATTATTACTTAATAGGCCTATATTAAATAATCACACGTCACTGCAAGGAAGGACACAACGCGTTCGAGCAGGTTGCTCCACGCCTCCAACAGCTCCATACGTTAACAAGGGGAAGTGTTAAGCCAAATTGTTGAGTCTTCTAATAAACTTGTTAGGGGATCGTATACATGGGATTGTGAAGTTTTTTTTCTGTGACAAGCTTGAAAAGCTTAACGTGTTGTTCAGCAGCTCCACGCGTTTAGGAATTCCACACCCATAGCAGCTCTATGTTTAGCAGCCTCACGCGCTTAGCAGGGGAAGTGCTTAGCCAATGTGCTTAGCTTGTGATAGACTTGTCATAGAATCATATGCCGGTGAAGCTAAACACATAGCTAAACGTGTAACACTGCCAACGTGTCTAGCTTTTTCTTCAGTGAAACGCTTGGAAAGCTATACGTGCTTAGCTTTTACACATATTTCTAAATGCCTAACGTGTGTTGTATGTATTTTAAAAATGCTAAACACTGTTTTTACAGTGTAGCATCTGTTTTCTAGCCATGCAAACAGAGCAGGGACAAGAGCGTAACGTTACGTTTAAACGGCTTTCCAAATCACAATTCTTTCACAATGTGGGCTGTGCCTGTCTTCTGTGAACAATTAAGCCTCATATTACCACCACTTCTAACGGCAAAATTGCGGCTATTAACCAGAAAATTGCCAAAATTAGTTGCCAAAA